CATCAGAGCTTGTTCAAATATAGATAAGAGGTAATTGGACACAACCATCATCCAATCATCCATTCTTCCGGACTTATCGGAAGTCCCTGCTCCCTCGGGGATGGCGGTGAAATCTCAAGGCAGCGTACAATTTCGAAAATACTAGGGGTGTTTCCAAAGTCTGGAAATTGTGTTATAAATTTGTTATTTTATTAATCTTCCAATTCTGTTTCTTTTTTTTTCTAAAAGAAGAATATCTCAGTAGTAGTTTTTGCACAGTTTGCAAGTATCATAATTTACAAGGCGAAATACCCTGTATATTGTTCGCAAGATTCGTGACTCGAAGAACCGTCGACTATCGACGATTCACTCGTAGATAAGCGTACCACGAAAGGACTTTTCCAACTTCTTGTATAATTAACATAATAATCGCTCGTCCTTGGTTAATTATATCGTTCGATTTACAAATTACAACCCTCAAGAGAGACTTTAATTTCGATGTTTATTAAATCGAACTGCTCAGTTCCAATGGTACCTCATTTTTCGGTTTGTTCAGTCTTTATTCTGGCCAACATCCGTATTTCAATGTGATCTCAATTCGAGAGTATATCTCTGGTCGTTCCGTATTCATCGTTGAACATATTGAATAGGGGTCCATTCCTCCTTTTGCGAAATTATAACAAGTTCTCGGACGCGTCGACTTCCATTAGTCGGTTCTCATAATAATCCCAGAATCCTGCGTGGAAAAAGGGGAACTTGCTTGGTCCCACGAATCTGTGGTTGCCAAGAAAAATGTCATATTTTCCTCGAGATATCGACGTCTGAAGTTCAGAACACCAAATCTTATCAGCAATGTTTCCTTATTTTCTTTCCACGATATAAATATACACTCGCGGTATAACTATAAAACCACCTTAACATTTTCAATCCTTCTGTATTCCGGTTAACATAAAAACAAACCACTATTTTATAATTAATATAATCTATCCTTCTCTGGGGAAAATTAAAACATTATTTGTCAACACCATTTCAGACATGGCATACTTTTGGTTCGTTTCTTCTTTTCATGCATTTCTTTTCTGATAAACACACATAAATTCTATGTTCTTCAGTTCGATTACTGTGAACACTGAAATTTTTGGAAATTGTGACATTCGACGTTTTTCCTTACAGCCATTGGAATAGTATCGTAGGAAGTCGTGGGAGATTGCGTCGCGTGCGTCTGGAATTTTCTCCCCCTCGTCCCGGAAAACGTTCGCCTCGACCCCTACGTCAACCGGAAACGATCCGTAGGAGAACGTAACGCGTTAAAGATCCTTCCCTTCGAGAAACAGATTGGTTTTAACGTTACCGACTGTCGCGAAAGTCAGCGGAAAACGTGACAGATTTACGATAGACACGAAAACGAGAAACGTCGCGGTTGAATTGTAACGTCAGAAATATTTCGGGACCATCCACTATTGGCCGCCGAAGCGATGGCTGCGCCTAATGTCCGGGATTTCACGCAGAAATCGAGTCCATAAATCGTCCCGAGCGTCGGATCTTCTATACATATAAAGAAACGAAAAATCGAGGACGAAGAAGGACAACCCAATTTACCGATATACAGGGTGTCCCATGTGACGTGCACACTTTAAATATTCAAAAAAATTATTCTAACAAATGCTCGAAGTGATATCCAGCAACACATTTTTGCACTGATCCCCCTATCCTAGTTGTTTTATTATTTAAACCTACTCTTAAATATTTATGGATTTTTCGTACTCAAGATCAAATGAAGGTTATACTACTATAAATCATTGGATTGGTCTTGGCCACTAACCATTTCGTACTATGATAAAAATATGTAGTTTCATTTAAAGAGAATATCGATCAGCTAGAAAATTTGAAAAATATGACCTTGCAAAATAGTTTTTTGTTTATCACAATATTTGTCTTTCCGACCAAATAACATTATCCCTTCACGTTTGTTTGTTTTTTCAAAAACAAGTTAGATATTGAAGGTGCTCGCGTTAGGTGGGACACCTTGTATGCGCGTGGAATTTTGCTTCGAAAAAAATTGCACGATCCTAGAAGAGCAGAAAACGATTCTGACGAGTTTGTTGATTAATTGGTCCGGCTTGTTGTCAACGGCATACGTGGCGACGCCAGAAAAACGTCCAAGATTGATAGGATAACCGGGATTTTTTTCATTAAACCGGAACACAGGCCGTTTTGGGGGAGAGATCGAAGGTCGTAGCTGGGAGACTCCGTTCGAAGAGACATGAGTGGACAGTTTCGGTTCCTTCGAGACGACTGTATTGGGTGACTTACATTACACTACACTATGGGGCGACAACACTTTGAACATACACTAAAATAATAAATAATGCGATTATGGCGTTCATTTTGTTTCTACAATTCCAGCTGAAAAAGAAATTTCCAGCCCAAGGTCATTTGGAATTTCACCCATTTTTAACACGAGGCTGTTAACCCCTTGATAGGGCAAGGGAGGGGGGGGGAGGGTAAACTGGACGTCAAAGGATTAAAGTAGAAAACAGAGTGTAAAATAGGCTACCCGTGCTCGATAGGTGAACGTCGGTTCAGGATTTTTCAAGGAAATGGTAATCGTATCATCGTGAGGCGGTTCTGTAAACTCCGTCGCGGCAGCCTCGTAGTAACAGGTTACGTTAAGTTCTAACTGGAACAATGAAAACTCTGATAGGATTATGATCCCCAGAGCGATGCTCAATTTAAACCGACGCTCGACGTTCCCCCGCGAACGAATCGAGGTTCAGACAATTCCCTTACGTTTCCATGAAATGTGTGTACTACCCTCCTGATGATCGATCATTAGACACGGATATTTACCGATCACGCCCTTAACGGGGGATACCAGAAACTCCCACGGTTTTGCTTCACACAATATTTCAGGGTAAATTCAGGAGATATACACATTTTCATTGAAAGCCAATAACTTTTTTGATTTTGTACTAATCAAAACGATTTATTTTATGTTACAATTACATACTCCTATACTACGATAAGATATAAACTATTCTAAACTTTTCTTATGGAAAATCAACAAAAATTAAATCAAACGAAAGAGTACCAAAATGGCGTCTCTTCCATATCATGTAGGAGAGATACCATATCCATGGCGGGAGAGGTCATTTGCACTAACTTCTCTTTCTTACATATTTTCCCTTTGTTACATTTTTTCCCCCATCTTAAATTTTGTTTGCCTTTCTTAAATTTCGTTTCCCTTTCTTAAATACAACGTGTTATGCTGTTGTATTAGTGTAAACGCACCTTTAGGCGCACAAACTTGGTTATAAAACGGTGCGACATGTGTAATTATTATTATTTTCCAATCGAAAGATATTAAAAATGCGTCGTCTCACCTGCATTTTACCCTACCTAGACGATCGTTAACGAACCTGCCGCGATTCGTCGCGGGGCTCGAAAATAAACCGAAGGCGGTTCGTCGGTCGCCTCTAATATTAACTTTCCCGACGAAAATTCGCTTTACCGGTTTCCACGGCGATTTTATTGGCATCCCCGGCCTCACCACCCCGCCAACCTCTGGTAATCGAATCTCTGTTCGAGCTCTCCGTGCGAGAGCAAAGAGTTCTCTCGATCGAAGAGTAAAATCGGCCGGGAAGAAACGGGACCGTGGGACAAAAGTTTTATCGAGTGAGAAGGAAGCGAGAATAAAACGCGTTCTGGTCGAGAGATACTTTCGGTTTTGCCGCTGCTCTCGCGTCGATTCTCTTTATGTGCTCGCGGGGAGAAAAAAATGTAACTTTTACCCCAGTCGTGTCGGTTCGATACGCGAATTTATCGTCCAGCCGCGGATTAGCGAAGAGGATACACGAAGGACTAGACAGACTAATAGGGGACTGGGAAGAATATTTTTTTTTTTTTATTTAACACTAGAACTACCAAGCAAGTCAAAAAATGACTTACCAATACACTCTTGCAACGATGACTAAAATTTTATAACAATACATGTTCTCCGATCTTTTGTAACTTTTATCACGATACGACATTAAAGAAATTAGTTAATTTATAAATTTATTTATTTTCAAAAGGTTGCCATATTTATCTCGTTGGTAGTTTTAGTGTTAATGTATCATCTTTATTAATACAGATGATAAGGATAAACGGGGATAATTTTGAACATTTTTACAGATTCGAATAATTTTTCTGCTCCAGTTAACACCCGTTTACACGTTCGGATAATTTCTGCGAAATGATTTGTGCATTACATGTTCGGTCCACCTTGCACGTTTATTTAAATTTTATGCACTGCCATCACTAGACAACGGATCTTTATGGAAATTCAAACTTTTCTCATCCAGCTCCCCTAGCGAACAATCCAAGAATCGGTCAGAAAACGTCTATCGTTAGGCGTGGCGACACTTGGGAAATCATAACCAATCCTGTGCCCAAAACTTTTTTCCCCCACACAGGCGATCTTTTTTCGGTTCCGACGAATTCCGGGACGACCAACGCGACGAAATTTCCTCAGTCCTCGAATGTCCAAGAAAATCTAAAAAAAAATTAACAGTGTCCCATGAAAAAAACAAATCAAACACCAACCAGCTTGAAACTCCACTAACCGAACGAATATAATTTCCGTAGAATCGATCATTTATCTTCGACGGATCGCGCAAAGCTGATCGGATAAAATCCGATAAGAGCCATCTAGCCAATAATGATGATCTTCACGCCGGTTGTCGTGTTGTCGCGCCGCGATGGAGACGGAACGGTCGAAAGAAGACGGGAATATTGCCTTTAATGCGATGGAAATTGGTGCGAGATAAACGTCACCTGGCGAAGGCTAGACAGGTAACTTTCTGGTTGGAATATCTTTCTGTCCTGCACAACCCCGCGAAGAGGGACTTCCCCAACGGTGTTTAGGAATTATTTCTCTCAAGAAGACTTGGCCAAGAGATTGCCATAAACTGGCGATAAAATGGCACCGTAGACGTCGACCAATTTGTGAAAAGCCAGACTACAATAGAAAGGCGACAAAAATGTACGGTATCAAGCCAATGATCGTCGGATGGTTAGCGTCTGTGGTGTCCACGTTGGTGGATGCCACCGATTACCTCGACGATTACACGTCCATGGATTATCCGGACCCGGATCTGGACTACAACGCGAGAAACTGCACGAATAATTATTGCATCTCGAACGAAGATTACATGGACCGTATGATGAACTATATATTCCCGAAGTTTTGGGACTGGGTGCTGATCGCCTCCCACACAATGATCTTCGCGGTCGGTCTGATCGGTAACGCGTTGGTCTGCATCGCTGTCTATCGGAACCACACGATGAGAACCGTGACGAACTATTTTATCGTGAATTTAGCGGTGGCGGACTTTCTCGTTTTACTGCTCTGTCTTCCGTTCACAGTGCTGTGGGACATCACCGAGACATGGTTCTTCGGCTTGACCCTCTGCAAAGCCGTCCCGTATCTTCAGGTAAGACAATCCCTGCCTTCCATTTCTCATCCCTATCGCAGTGGCTCTTCTTGATTAACTACAGCCTGTGTGTCACGCGAGCGTAATTGGAAAAACGTATAATGGCGGCACAGGAGAGACAATGTCAACGTGATACAATTGCCCTTTATTTTCAACTTTGGACTTTTTCTCGCGGCCGCCCCACAGTGGTGAAAAACCGCAAAGAATTAGAAAAAATTCAATCATCGGATTTTTCAATTGTTTGGTAGGAAAAAATGCACGATACTAATGTTTCATTTTACAATTTAAAATACGTTGCCATATGGCTACAGTGGGAACGAAAGGGTTAAGTAATTATGTAAATGTTTAAGGGCCCAAGGGCTTATTGTCCCCAGGGACGTTCCTGAGTTGTTGGCCGCCCTTATTAATTTAATATTATTTAATTACTGCTGTGTTTACTTTAAATCTATATAAAAGTATGTTTAATTAGTTTTAACCCATACCATATGCTTCTTTGGGCTGTATGTAAAGATAGTTCATTCTTGTATACGAATAATGTTACAAAGATTACATATAAAACTAATTTCATGGAATTCTGTTTGTCTAAAAGATTCATAATTATAAAAAAAGGTTTGATTATTATTCTTACTAGCCAAAATTTCATATATAATAAATAAAAAGTGCGGGGGCACCTTTTGCACCCCCGCCAGGAACGGCCCTGCACGGACGTGCTCTCTTTCATTCGAATACGAGGTAACGGGGAATTCAGATTGCGGGTACACGTCGAGAAGCGAAACAGCGACGGTCTTCTTAATTGCGGAGAACCTGGGGAAGAGATGCATTTTCCCGCGGTTTCAACCGACATTTCAAGCGTGAATTCCTCCGACCTCTGTCGAAATCTGCGATTCAATGCTTTTTCGTCGTGCCAGCTCCAACGTTTCGCGACCTTGTGTATTCTTAAGACTCGTTTGTTCCGCCCAGGTTTGCCAAGAGAACTCACGGAATCGTTGCAACTCTCTTCACGTGACAATGAGTACGAAAAATCCACAAATGTATGGGAGGAGATTTAAATAATAATATAACTACGATAGAGGGAGATTAGTTCAATAATGTATCCAAGTGGATGGACATCCGTTTGAGCATTTGTTACAAATTAATTTTCTGCAAATAAAAAGCGTGATACCAAAGATGCTCACGTTAAGTAGGACACCCTGTATGTATAAATCGACTTGTTAGATTTGAATAATTGCGGGAAAAGTGATATTAACTCCAAAGCCCTCTGGCGGCGAGTACACTAGGCAGCCGACCGGCTTAAGTAAGGGATCGAGGGAGGTTCGCGATAATAAATTCATAAGCGGACCGCTTAATTAATACTTCGGTGCTCCAGCTGCTCCCGCGTTTGTTTTGCGTATTACCGTTTGATGTGTACTTTACACGGGCACTCCTGATTGGACGAAACACAAGAATCACGGGAAAATCGCACGAGGAAAGTGACGGCATGATTTTCTCCGTGCTTCAGTTTTCTCTGTTTTAAAATCTTGGTATCGCTGCTTGTGTAAGTCTCGACGAAGAATACGGACCAATTACGAGTAACGGAGCCTGTTCACAGATGCAAGTATATATTCTTATTCGAGGTTTAATTAACAGGATTACGATATATCCCTCCCCGTGTGACTCATAACGAACGTTACCGCCAACGTTGGCAGAGCTTCCGCGCCCGGAAAACCGATATCGTGCTCGCTTCGAAATTTTCTCAACTCGACCGCGTGATTGGTAAAAGCCTGACCAGGAATCGAATTATCGGCGCCGTGGACGATATTGAAAATTTCGCAATTAAAATGTCTTATCGAGCGTGACTGCGGACGAGCTGTCGCCCTACCGGGAATTTCGAACGATAGCGTCCGTCGAGACTGTCCTGTTTTATATGCTGAAATCACGGATAAAATTCGTTGTTTCCGTATGGTTTCACCGTCGTTTGTTAATTGTCTCTATTTTTAAATGAAGGGGGAAAAAATTGCGCGTTTCTCGCGCATATGGAACTTGCAATGTTTTAGTTCATCAATTGGACGGTAGATGGCTCGTTGGTGGTGGCGATTCTCGCTGTCAATGTTGCGCGAGAAACATTACTAAAGGCCCCTTTAAAAACGTACTCGCTTAAAAAGGGTGCTCGCTACTTTAATAGCGCGTCAGTACGTTTTGTATAACGTGCTGGCGGGGTATGGCTATCAAGACATACCCAGTACGTAATTTTTGTGAACGCGAGGCTGTTGGCTGCCAACTTTGCACCGACGCCTCCAGCTTGCTAATTTATCAAATATAAGATTCTATATAATCAATTAAAATTCGATAAAAGTGTAATTGAAAAATTGTATTTTAATTCCACGAAAATCATTTAATATGAAGAGAAATAATGAACGAAGAGAGGGGGGGACATGTTTCACTGTGACGCGAATTTCTTTAATTGGCTTCGGGCAAATCGGTAAAAAGAGTAATTTAAATAATGCATGCAGTATGGGGGGGGGGGCATAGCAAACTTAATTAAACCGTCGCATTCCCCACTTGCGCGATTAAAACATAAATGTTGATCAAAACATGGCTAACGGTAGGGAATATTTGCGTATAAAGGAAAACAGGGCCACAGGGGGTGGAACTAAAAAATCATTAGCGTTTTTATGAACGTCACGCGTTTCTGCGGTGTTAATCTGTGAAGAGAAAAACGAGTTTGATCGTTACATTGAATACATTTGTGACACGACAAAATAGAGAACCTGCGTGTATAAGCCAAGAAAGGTTCCGTTGCGATAGTTTAACCTTAACGATATTCGACGAGTATACTCGTCATGTGAAAAAAAAAGTAAAATTCCTTCTGCCCTAAAAATTGAAAAATATATTTCTTTTATTTAAATAAAGGAACGAAATAGATACACGACTTCCAAAACAAAATTCAACCATTAAAGGGTTAAGGTATGTTTCCTATTTTACCGTCAAGAAATCAAATTGTCTCCGTCACACCGCGACGTGTGTCCTCTGGTGGGCATTATGGGTGTTACAATATTTTCGACCTAATGTTCAGCAAAACGTCATACCTCGTATTGTACGCAACGAGCAACTATATTTCCTCATTTTACCCGGGTCGAAAGAGTAAATCCAGGTTCGTACGTGCGTAGAACACACGCGAAATGTCTGCCTCGAGGCTGGTTGACTCTGAAAAAAAGGAGGATCATTTTGTAATGTATTTCGAGCGCGTCTTTTAGCGTGAAAACGATGCAGGATAAAAGTAGGAGGAAAATGAGTCCAGACGAAAATCAGATTTCGCGATAGATCCGGTCGATAGCACGATTTCCCGCTGTGTCGTCGAGCATCCAAGCGGAATAAACACCGCGAAGGCAGTCGCCATATTGCCCGGAACAAACGAACTTCGTAATTTGAGGTGTTATTTCGCTCGACGGATCGTAACCGGATTTCCATGTCGCGGTGAAATTGTTGTATTATTGATATTGCAAATAACATTCGAATACCCACTCGGTTACTACTCGGCCTCCCTATATTCTGCAGGCCCCGTTTGTCCAGGAACTCGCATCGAGTTATTGGTGTAATTTTGAGGTTACGATATCGTGACACTGTTTGATACTTGTATATACATAGATTGTCCCTAGTTCTCATCTCATCATATTTTATGTACGGTAGTAACTTAGATTGCACAGAATATTGGAGTTATTATACATAAAGAAGCATCGTTATTATTGTAATATCGTTTATGGATTCAGTATCATCAGACATTTCCTACGGTCTTTTGTCCGTGAACTCTTTTCACGGACTCTGGCTTGAGTTTAACCATCAAATGGTAAAGGTGGGTTTTAAGATCGTACTATGCATTGCGTTTCTTGCGTTCCCTGCAATTTTCAGACGGGTAAAAAAAGTTAATATCTTGAAATTGTATTTTTGTTTATTTGTGTAATAAGGAATTGTAATTAAGTTATATAACATATAAGTATTAAACGTTTATTAAATAATAAAATATATTTTAAAACAAGAGTAATGAAAAAATAAATAAAGAGAGGTTAGCACAAGACGAACTACAGCTTGGGTCGGATACGACCCAGACCTTACCATTATAGGATTAAATTGACGACGTCGTAACTATTGTGCCCAGCTTTTCCACGATCCCAAACATTTCTTATTATGCTTTATTAAACTTGTGCCGCACGCAACACACTGAAAACCATTCCAGGCAAAGACCCATTGTTATTAAATATTGTCAAAGACGAAGTACAGCTGATTGGGGCAGATGTAGCTTAGCATCTCAAAGGGATCCAGACACGTACATAACTCACCGGGGATGCTAATCGTGAATACTTTCGGCAAGATGGAATTTAATAAAACTATACGAGGAGATCGTGGAGAGGGGGGGGGGCGGATTTAATACGATACGATATGTACTATAAAGTATAAAGAGATGGAATACAAAGACCGTATCTCGTGTCGGGAGTCCATGGCAACGTTACACGAAACTTGCTTTATAGCCTATTGTTAGGGTATTGTTTCAGGCTTTGGCGTTCCCTGCACGAAGGACACATGCAAGAGGAGAGAATCTATAGTTGCCAGCTAATCATTGTCGCCCTTTGCGCGCGCGATCCGTTGCAGGCCCCGTTAACTATGTAGAACGAATCATATTCGTTCCTCGTTAAAAGCCTGTTGCTCCCTCTATACGGTGCCCTCGCGATATTAAACTTAATCATTCGAAAAACGTATAATAATCCTCTCAACATCGTAACAGATTTTTTTTATTGATCACATACAGTGCAAAATTATAATCTGTTATTGGCATAACAATAAACAATTTTTATGATAACAGGAGAGTGCAATAATAAAGTCATGATGCTTTGTTCTCTAGATTTGTAATGTTTTAAATTGGGTTTATTCTAGTCAAATCGTTTCTGTAGGTCGAAACTGATAGTAAGAAGTTTCGAGAGGAATGGAACAGTGACAGTTCAAACGACTCGATCATATAAAATCCCAAC